AATATTATTTATTTTATTTATTTTTATTTTTTATAACTTTCATTTAAACTTAAAAAGGAACATATTTGTTTATTATTTTTTATAATTTTTTTTTTTTTTTTAGTTTTTTTATTTTTCTTGAATATGTATAGACGTTTGCTTTCTTCGTGTGTTTTCTTTGTTAAATATTTAAAACTTAAAAAAATAAAATAAAATAGAATTAAAAAAATTTTTACATAAAAAAATTTAATCACAAAATATCATTGATGGAAACGTGGTTTTTTGTTAGAATTTTCGTTTAGTATTTTTTTCCGATTTTTTTCTCATTCTAATTTTTCAATAGATTTAGGCGACTCTGTTAAATGTAATATAATGTTTGTTTGTATTAGTGTGTTGTATGAGTGGTATTCAATTACGTTTTTTGTATTAGTTGGTCCATTAATGTTACATGGTATATAAATTGGGGGGTTTTGGGGCCATGTGGGAGAAAACTGGGAGTACAATGAATGGCATGACAATTTGGAGTTATGGGAATAATTTAAAGGAGAGAGAGGAGAGAAAAGAGTCTATGTTAAACTTAAAAGTCTCTTGGGAAGGGAGTAGCACGTGAAGAGAGAAAGAGAAATAAATACTCTCTCAAAAAAGAGCAATTCCCATCTCCTAAATTTCCATTTTCTACAAATACTAACAGTGATAACTCGTCTTAAAAAAATCGAAAGAAAAAACATGGGCGCTTTTAATTTCAATTTTTTTCAACGAAAAAAAATTAAAAATTTATAAATATTTGGAAAATTGTCTTTAAATTAAATTTTGAAAAAATAGTTAAAATATTTTATATTTGAAAATTTATATAAATATTATAAAGATTTTTTATTGTGAGAAAATTTTACAAAATTAGTCAAAGCTCACCAGAATTATCCGGATTCGAATTTTATAGAATTTGGCCGCACGTTTTTTTCTCTAAGAACGCCATTTTCTTCCTTCCCTTCCTCTCTCTCTCCCTTTATGTTTTCATTTTTCCCCATTTCCCACAAATTGTCCTCCATTCTCTTTCCTTTTATATTTTCCCCCCGGCCTTGTAAGTTTAAGTTCATCCACAGATTTCTTTTCATTGTTAAGGATTTTTACAGAATGTTAATTTAAGTTATTAATTTTTACAAGAACAAACCTTAGTGAAGATTGTTGTTTTGTTTTTATGATATAATACAGGACTTTACAGAAAAATTTACAGGAGCACAGTTTTGAAGGTGTGAAATGGTAGGTGGAGTTATATTTTCGTCAATTTTTGTTTTTGGTACCTTAAGAAAAAGGGTAGTATAGACTTGGTAGGGAGGTGTTTTGAAATAAGGGACACATGGAAAATATTTTAGAAGGAAAAATATATTGAGGATATGAAAAGCAGAAATATTGGAATTTTTTACCTGATATAGATAAGCTTGAGCAGATTAGACAATAAGTAGAGTTTCGGGTTTATTTAAATTAAAAAAAAAAATAAAAAATTTTAAAAGAAAAACAATTTCCAACTATGGCAGTGTTTGGCTGAGAATAATTGGACGGTAATTTCAGTAACTATCGTTCAAAGTGGAGATAATGAAGATTTAAATAAGGAATCGACAAATTTGTATTGAAAGTAGATGAATTTATGTAGGAGATTTCAGAGCAGGCCTATGGAGACAAAGTCGAAAATATATAATGTGAATTCCGAATAAATACTCAAATTGGGAAAATGAAAGTCATCTCCATTCATACATTTGAAGTCATGTACATACATTTGAAGTCCGAATCATTTTCCTCTAACCAGGAGTTTCGCAAAAGGACGCCCACGGACACTCTATGAGAGTACATAAAAAAAACATTTCTTCTCTTTGTTATACTTTGATTTTAGGTCTCATGATGCCTCTCTACAATGCGCCCTTGGGCACTTTGTGAGAGTGCCCACACACAATCACATTTCCGTGTTTATAACACACCATCGATCACAAACGAATTTCTGACTCCTCAAAACAAAAAGTAAAATATGAGCTCTCTGAGAACAACTCTCTTTCTCTCGTATGGGTAAATCAGACTCGAGCACTGACAGAAATAAATGCGTGTGAAGAGAGAATGATGTGATTGGACACAAATGAGAGCAAATGTCTTTCGTTTCCTAATATTATCGAAGGTTCTAATTTAAAGAAGAATTAAATCACAAATTTGGCAACGAAAGACTTCTATTTTCAGTTTATTCTTAGACTTTTGTCCTCAAAATGAAAATCTATTTTAGACATTGGCTGTTAACAAGAAAGTCGACTTTTATCTTTTAGAAGAAAGCCGATTTTCACACTTTCTATCTTTTGCCTTCGAAAAAAAGTCGAATTTTATACTTTTCGACTTTTGTATTTACGAAAACATGGATTTGTCGGTATTCTGAGGTTGTTTAATGGATGAAAATCGATTTTCTGTTTATAGTTACGCTATTTTTTCCAAAAATAATACCAGAAATTAAAAATTCGACAAAAAAGCTATAGAAGCAAAATCGAAAATAGATTCTGAAAATTCGATTTTAATAGGATTTCGTTTTTCAGTCGAATTTAAAATTTTTGTCTCACCAAAATTGACTTTCAGGCTTTGTGTTCCACATGGAACAAAATCGACTTTTAAAACTTTTGACTTCTAACAAATTGATTTGTTAACCTAAAAGCGACGGAAATCGATTTCGATTTTTGTGATAATGCAACGTAGATCAGTGCATGCTTTTTGGCGCATTCGGTCAATTGAAAACCGAGCTAAGTATAGTTTTATACGTAGCATGCTGACCAAAACTCCTACTGGAAGAGGGTTATATTTGGGGACCTATGGAAGACAGTGTATTTCCCCAACAAAAAATCGTCTTTCCGATTCAACTGCTGGCAAAAATCTTCGTTGACTTTCCAACACCAGCTTTCGATTGAAGAGTCGCAAGTAAAAAATCGAGTTTGAATTTTATAATTTATAGTGCCAAAGGTAGGTTAATCAAAAATCGAATGAAGTACCGATTCATACTAGGAATGATTACTGAAATTCCGACCAAAAGAGTGTTTTATTTGGGGCCTATGAGAGGCAATTTATTTCCCCAACAAAAAATCTTCTTTCCGATTTAACTGTCAGCAAAAATACGACTTTGTCTTCCCAACGCCAGCTTTCGATTGGAGAGTCACAAGCGAAAAGCGATTTTAAATTGTATAATTTATAATGCCAAAGGTAGGTCAGTCAAAAATCGAATGAAGTACTAATTCATACCAAGAATGATCGCCAAATTCCGATCAAAAAAGGGTATTATTTGGGAACCTATGGGAGGCAATTTATTTCCCGAACAAAAATTCGACTTTCCGATTTAACTGTCAGCAAAAATGGACTTTGTCTTTGAAACGCCAGCTTTCGATTGGAGAGTCGCAAGCGAAAATCGACTTTGAATTTTATAAGGTCATTCAATCGAAAATCGAATGAAGTACTAATTCATACCAAGAATGATCGCCATAATTCCGATCAAAAGAGGGTATTATTTGGGGACCTATGAGGGCAATTTATTTCCCGAACAAAAAACGACTTTTCGATTTAACTGTCAGCAAAAATCGACTTTGGCTTTCCAACGCCAGCTTTCGATTGGAGAGTCGCAAGTAAAAAATCGAGTTTGAATTTAAAAATTTATAATACCAAAGGTAGGTCATTCGAAAATCGAATGAAGTACCGATTCATACTAGGAATGATTGCCGAAATTCCGATCAAAAGAGTGTTTTATTTGGGGTCCTATGGGAGGCAATTTATTTCCCCCAAAAAAATCGTCTTTCCGATTTAACTGTCAGCAAAAATCGATTTTGCCTTTCCAACGCCAGCTTTCCATTGGAGAGTCGCAAGCAAAAATCGACTTTTTTAAAAATTATAATACCAAAAGTCGGTCAATCGAAAATTGAATTAAGTACCGATTCATACTAGGAATGATTACTGAAATTCCGACCGAAAGAGGTTAATATTGGGGACCTATGGAAGACCATTTATTCGTCTCTTCGATTAAAATGTCAGCAAAAATCGACTTTGTCTTTCCAACACCAGCTTGGATCGATTGGAGAGTTGCAAGCAAAAATCGACTCTGACCTATGGGATGCAATTTATTCCCCCACCAAAAAAATAAAATCGACTGTCAGACTTAACTGCTCATAAAATCTACTTTGACTTTCCAATGTCAACTATTAAAAAATATTCAAAATGAAATTTATTTCGATTCGATTTTTAATATTTTCTGCAGAAAGGGGAATTTTTGGGGCCTATGTCAGATATTTCCATAAAATGAGCCTTCAAAAATTTGCCTTCAATGACAAGTCTCTGAATTAACAATTTTACATAGTTCGTTTCCCTAGGCCTGCCAATATCGCAAGAAAAATATATATATATATATAACTTGAGTATTGGAATATGCCAAAATTATGTGTATGACTTGGGTTTCATCCAATATTTCTGCTTTCATTGAAAACATTTTTTTAACAAAATTTTGAAAAACGACATAAATAGAAAACTTTTTTCTTTTTGATAAATTCGTAAATATTTGTTAATTGTTTCCATTTTTTTGTTTTATAAAATATTGATATTCAATTAATTTCAGTTTGTTGTTTATTTTCAGATACTAAATGCCTTATTTTTTGAATATTTAATTTGTTTCTTTTTTTGTTTGCTTATTTAAGTTTTGTCTATTAAAAAATTCAGCTAATTGAGTGAGTGTCTGAGTGTGTTTGTGTGTGTGTGGGAGGAGGTGTATCTCTGTGTAAACTCTATATTTGTTGTTGTTTTTACTATAATCTATTTAATAATTGTTGTTGTCTGTTTGTTGGATTGTATGATTGATTAATTTTATGTGATTATGAATTGATGTTGTTTTTCTTTCAACTTTTTTTGTTTCCTTTTCCAGCTATTGAATGGGGGTGTGTGTTGTGGGGGAGGGGGAGTTTATTAGTCTTTTACTACCATTTTTCTTGGAAATATTATTTATAATTTATCAATTTTTTGTTTAGTTTTTATTTTTTTTTTTTTCATTCTCTGAAATATATTTACAAAAACAGTTCTTGTGCTTAGCTTTTCGTTTTTAATAAGTTTTTGTTTTGTTCTCTCGTTTTGTGTGTGTGTGTGAGTTTAGTTTAAAACTTTAATAATTTTTCTTACGTTTTCCTTTGTTTCTTGTTTTTTTTTTTTTTTGTTAAGTTCGTTGGCAAAATTTTCAGTATAAGTTTTCTTGTTTTTTTGTTTTCATTTCATGTTAGGTATGAGTTACTTGTTGTTGTTTTTTATTTTTCCTATATATATATCCTAAAAATTATAGGTGCTATCCTCAAAAATACTCTACTCTACTTTGAAAACCAAAAGAAAGAATATCTTTGAAAAAGAAAATATCCTTAAAGTCCGTTTTTTTTAATAAATATTTCTATTGGTACAAAAAACTATATTTTTTCTTTCATTCTTGCTATTTTTCTTTGCTCTCGGTGTTAGTTTATGGGTGTATGTGTGTGTGTGTGTGAGTTTATTCAGCTTATGTCGTGTTGTGTTTTCCTGGGCAGAGAAAGAAAAAAAACCCTAGACCCAAAGTCCATAACATGTATACCCTCTTGGGGTATTGTTGTGGGAAATTTTCTGTTTTTCTATTCCTTTTGTAAATTTCTTGTCGTGTGAATGTGTTTGTGTGTGTGTTTTAGTTTTTCTTTAAGGTAAAGCATACGGTGTTCTAGTTCTGTTTCTTTTTATAATTTAATGTGGGTTTTCGTTTGTATTGTATTTTTTTACTTGTTCTTTATTTGGTTGTGAGAATTCCATTGCTCGCCATCATTACCATCGTAAGTTTTGTTTGGGAATTTCTTGTGTTCTTGTTTTTTTTTTCGCCAGCTATTAGCAGTTGCTTTGTAGTTTTTTTTCTCTTTTTGTTTTTTTTTTTTGGGGAGATGGGGGGGGCTTTGTGGCCTTACCTTCTTTGTGCTGAGCAAATTCATTGCCAATTATGGTTTCAAGGCAACATTTTTCTGGCTGGCTATACGTCCTGGTAAGATATGGGAGGTTTTTTTTTTCATTTTTTCTTTTAAATATTACTTGCAGAGTTTAAGCGCTGAAAAAAAGAAGAAAATAGGGAAAAGATTAAAATTATGTAACAAAAAAAAAAAAAAAAAAAAAAAAAAAAAAAAAAAAACAAAAAAAAAAACTAGTGTGGCGCCCAACGTGGGGCACATATTTGATAGGCATATATGTATACAGCAAACTTTGAAGAAACCGTTTCGAATATATTTGTTTAATTAATTGTTTTTAATTCAAATAAATCAAAGTGGTTTAATTTAAAAAAAAAAAAAAAAAAATCCGAAGCCGTATGGAAGGAACCCCTAAAAATGAACAAGAAAACCATTTTCCTGGTTAATATGAACCTCTTACTCTTCGCGACTCCCAAAAGGGGTATTATGATTCCAATTCTCAATTTGGTAAAAAAATCACGCATTAAAAATTAGTGGCGCCCAACGTAGGCCCTTTTAAGATTCAGTCTCCTAACTGAAAGAAAGTGTTTATGTAAAAAAATAATTTGTTTCTGAAATTACTGCCTTGGATCGGCGATGAACCTCTTGTCCTAGACCCCAGAAAGAAGAAATATCTATTCCAATTCAAAATTTGAAAAATTACAAGCATTAAAAATGAAGATGTTTTTAGTTACGATCTTAGCAAAAATCAATTTTTCCACTTTTTTACGTAAAATTTTGAACAAAAAATAGTGGCGCCCAACGTGTGGCCCACAACAATGTAACACTACAAGGATTTTTTTAATCCTAATCTAATGAACAAATTAATTTATGTCATAGTATTCAAAACTGAAAAATTTCGTTTGAATTTCGAGAGCTCAACTCCCAGGAACCTGCTAAATTAAGGAACCTGCTAAATTGAAGTTTGAAATAAATTGAAACTGTTTTCAGTTACGATTCAATAAAATATCAATATTTTTCGAAATATTTAAGTAACATTTAAAAAAAGAAATATTGTGGGGTCCACAAAAATATAATGTTTCAAGAGAAACTTTTTGATTACTTTTTCAAATGTAACTTCTAAACAGTTTGATTTCGTTGTCCTAAGAAAACATTTTTGCTGTGTTGAGTTCCGAGTCCTGTGGGGAGGATATTTTTACGATAATGGTCTAGAATGGCTGAAAATTTTTAAGAGGGCTATAGAAGAAGATGACTTGTCCTCTGCAAACTAGCTTAAATTTAATGACAGTTAGCTTATATTTAATGACAGTTAATACAAAAAGTGGCGCCCAATGTGGGGCACACTAAAATAACACATTCCCAAAGTGAATATTCGCTTGAGATTTCAACGAAATATTCTATTCTTATTTTTTTCAGGGTTTTGATGGAATATTTTTTCCTGCAAAGATGTCAGAGTCCTGGGAATAGAAATTTTTCAGGACCCATCTTGGGCTACGCAAAATACAGTCCTTAAAACTGAAAAGATTGAGGTTAAGATATTATTTGATCTTGAGGTCAGAGCCTCGGGGGTAAAAATAGTTTGGGGATGACGGCAGTGAGAAGCTAAAATGTCAAAGGGGAGCTATGGGCCAACTTGATGTGGCCGTTTTTTCTGCGACTTAGGTCCAAAGAAAGATTTTTTTTTTTTTGCTAAAAACGTATATTGAGGTATGGAAAATTGTGGCGCCCAACGTGGGTCACATAAAAATAAAATGCTCAAAAATTAAATATAAAGCTCATATTAGGTATAGATTGGCCTTGAGTGGCCAAAAATATTAAAGAAGGCTATCGATGAAGTTTATATGAACTTGAGATCCTCTGCATCCCAAGTAAAGTCAAATAATTACATTAATGTGTTAGCATGAACAATTGTGGCGCCCAACGTGGGACACAAACAAATAAAATGCTCAAAAATTAAATATAAAGCTCATATTAGGCTTGATTGGCATCAGTGCCCTGAGGGTAAACATTTGTGGCCTTGAGTGGCTAAAAGGATAAAAGAAGGTTGTCGAAGAAATTTATAAGAACCAGATGTTCTTTGCAACCCCAGAAAAATGCAAAAAATTACATTAATATGTTAACATGAACAATTGTGGCGCCCAACGAGGGTCACATAAAAATATAGTCTCTAAAACTAACATGAAATCTTCTGTTCAGACACTTTATTCGGAAAATGGGTTAATTTAGTGGGGGAGGGTCATATAAGACACTTTCTTTTGTCTTATTTAGGAAATAAGAATTATTTGAGACTAAAGAAATTGGTCAAAAAAAAAAAAAAAGGGAATAAAAAATTAAGTCCACTTGTTGTTATTTAAAACTAAAAAGAAATCTTCTATCCAAAACTAAATAGAAATCTTCTGTCCAGATGCTTCATTCAGAAAATGGGAGGATTTTTGGTGAATATAAAAGACATTTTTTCTTCTTCAGGATAAAAGACATTTTTTTGGGATCATGGAAAAAAAATAAAAAAAGAAGGTTCACTTTCTGTCTTTTCAAAATTTTGGCAGGAAATGAAAAACAGGATGAAAAAGATTTTTTTAGATCATGGAAAAAATAGAAAAAGATTAAAAAATAAGGTCCACTTTCTGTCTTTTCAAAATTTTGGCAGGAAAATATTTCATCCCCCCCAAAAAAAATCGTGGAATTTAATTCAAGCTTCTGATACCCAAAACAATTATTTATTCTTATTTATTTTGATCCCTAAAAGTATTCAGTTCCCAAGATTCTACCAATTTTACTTTATTCGGAAAATATCGGCATTTTATGACGGGGATATAAGACATTTTTTGGGACTACAGAAATTGAAAAAAAGCACAATCAAAAAATAAGGTCCACTTTTTGTTATTTCAAAACGTGGTCATTAGGGTATTTCATTCTCAAAAAAATAAATAAATAAATAAATAAAAATAAAATAAATAAATAAAAAATAAAATAAGTAAATAAAGTCTCGTGGGACTTTGGACGTTTTGTGATTTTTCAGAATTTATTTAAGACTCCTGAGGCCCAAAGCCAATGAATTTTAAATTTTCTCAAAGAGTGTATTTTTAATCCCTAAATTCAATCAATTTTAGGGCGATTTCAATTTGACAATTTTGAAATGTTTGAATTATTTGACTTACCTCAAATCCATTGGTTTCATCAATGATACCACAGCCTGTTTGTTGTAGTTGTAGTTGTTGTTTTTGTTATATTTTGTTCATCGTTTTCCGGTTGTTGTTGTTGTTCGTATTCTCTATCCTCTTGATGTTGTTGCTGTTGTAGCTTTAATAAACTATTTGTTGCATTTTTTGTTGTTTCAAAATCATTAGCCATTATCGTTGATTGAACTACCAAATTATCACCCGCTACCAGATCATCATTATCACCATCGTCATCATCGACTGTTTTTCCTACCGACTTTTCTAGATTTTCTAAAGCTTTTTGTATACCCAAAATTTCCAAAGAGGAGGGCATATAATAATCACTATCCTCATCACCACGATTGTCGGCCAAGATGTCATCCATGATGGCATTTTCACCACCATACGAATCATCATCATCATCGTCGTCCTTGTCACCATTGTGATCTCTGGCCAGCGATAATTTGAGCACCTTTAAATCCTTGGCCTTCAATGAGTTGTGATAAAAAGCTTGTGGTGATTTGTTGTTGGTGGTTTTGTTGTTCTGCAAGGTATAAGAGAAATGAGGTGATGCCGAGCCCAATGATGATCGAGGGTTTGGCTGATGAAGCATCGAGGGTGGGGGGAATGGTTGCAGCTGATAGATTTGCTGTTGTTGTTGATCGGGCAGGTGTTTGTTGGTATTCAAAATGCTGAGTCTTTTCATAGAATGCTGCTGCTGCTGATTCTGCTGATGATGATTGAGTAAATTCTTTGGATTACCACTACTAAGGCTACCACTAATGCCATTTTGCATTGCTGTTGTTGTTGTTGCTGCTGCTGAGGCTAATAATTTATTACTGTTGCTAAAATGATTGTTCTTATTGTTATTAATGCTACTACCAACTACTTGAGTTTTCCTATTATTATTTATCGTAGATGATGAAGTTGTTTTTGCAGCTGTTGTTGTTGGTGCTGCTGCCGTACTATTGGCCACCACATTGGCTTGCATGGCCCTTTGTTGGGTCTCAAACTAAAGATTGTCTGGATAGCTGCGGAAATTATAGGTTCTGGCCCTCTGGAATTGCATGGTCTCGGCATTGTTGATGATATTGTTGCCGCCACCACCCACACCGCCCGCACCCACCGTCGCCGTATTATAGGGATTGATCATGGGCGCTGTCGACTGTGAATTCATGGTGCCCATGTTGTCATCGTAATTATGCTCATTACTCAGATTACTGCTGGCCTTACTGCTCATGGTATTGCTGCCGCTGTGACCTTTGATGGGCTTAAATATGGCCGTTGTGGCGTAATATTTTTCCATTGGTGGCGGTGGCACCTGGGGCGGCCGGGGGAATATACTGCTCAAGGGGGGTGGAGGTGTGCGGCGTACATTAACATAACCGCCTGGTGTGGAATTGGACATTTTCGAGGGCATATAATCCTGCATGTGGGGCACAGCATAACCTCCTTCAGGAACATCTAAGTGGAAATAGGGCACACAATACAAACGCAAACGAAAAGGGGGAGGTGTGGGAAAAAACCCCAAGGAAGAAAACCGAAAGAAAGAAAGAGAAAAGCAAAGAAAACAAGCCATTAAAACTTAGTTCATTTTTTTCGGTAGAGAATTTTTGTCAAGTCATCACTTAAGCTTTATGGCCAGAGAAACCATACAACCAAACCAACCCACTCTATTTAATATGAAATAGCTGAGGAGGATTAGGTTCTTGGCCATAATTTATGATAGATGTTGCCAGAGAGAGAGTTCAAAAAGCCAAACCAAGGAAATATATGTTTTTTCTCTCATTTTTTTTTTTTTTTTTTTGAGAAACTCCCACTTCTGGCTTTTTGTGGCGTTCGTCTCTTACCTGTATAGTCTGGCGTCATATTACATTGTAAATCATTAACAGCCGCATATCCATTTACTCCACTCGTGTACATATTTACATTAAAGGGTTCGTGGTAGAGGCTATTTTTACCAATTGAATCATTATCATCCACGCTGGCCTGAAACGGGAAGGGAGGGAGAGAATAGAAGAAATATATGGACATTAATATAAAATGAAGAAATGAGAAAGGTGAATGTCAAAATCAGGAAGAGCGAAGCATTTTCATGGAGGATAAGAGAGTCATAATGACGAATTATTTAAGGAAACCGTTGAAAGAGTCCCAGGGGTTATTGGGAATTTTTTGAAATAATATTTTTCAGGGGATTACTAAAATCGAAAAACCTACAGTGAGCTGCCCCACGATGATCGTACCTCTTTTTAGGGATAACAGAAATGTGTTATCGAATTTTAAGGAATACTTTTTCAATGTAGAAATCTTTGTTTTAATTATATTTCTTAAGGATTGCCTCCGGGATAAACATGATCTTTTATAATTTTTAAAAGTTACGGTAACATTTTTTCTTTTCGGGATTTGCAGAATTTATTTAAAAACTTAACGAAAAAAATTCTTGGATTTTTAGTTTTTTTTTTATACGGTCTTAATCCCTTAAGGTATTCGGAATCTTATACAATAATTTAGGATCATCATAAGGATCATAATTCAGGTTAATGTAATACATTTCTGTTTAAACGAAATATTGAATTCTGTCGGAATTTGAAACAATATTTAAAATTATACAAGACTCTATGAAATCAGATTCAATAGAAAGGTCAGATGTTCCACTACTTTCACACAAAAGTAATGATCCATTCTATCCTCTAACCCCATTTCGCTTCAATTGGTCTCTAATTGAGGTGGCGCCCAATGGGGGGCATGAAAATTCACTCCTATTAAATTCAGTGTTTTGTGGACATATTTCTGATGTATTGAGGTGGCGCCCAACGAGGGGCCAGAAATTCCAATTGGTAAAGGTCAGATGTTCCACTACTTTCACACAAAATTAATGGTCTATTCCATCTGCTAATCCCATAGCACTTCGATTGGTCTCTAATTGCGTTTGGCGCCCAACGAGGGGCCTGAAAATCCAATCGTATTAATTTCAATGTTTTGTGGGCATATTTCTGATGTATTGAAATAGAAATTTCAAACGGATTAATTTCAATGTTTTGCGGGCATACTTGTGAGGTATTGAGGTTAGAGTGCTGTGCGTTGAAATTTTATCTGATATAATGGTCTTGGATGGCAAGAATTTTAAAAAGGGCAATGGACTTTTCTTTTTTTCTCTGCAATCTAAGCATAATTTATTTTGTATCTTCTACGAAAAAATATAGAAAATATACAGTCAAAACAAGTAGTGGCGCCCAACGTGCAGCACATACAAATACCGTCGCCAAAACTGCAAAGATTGGTTTAGATTTGAAGCAAGGAATATTAAGAGAGTACATTTTTATTGAGATTAGAGTCCTGAGGCACGGAGAGAACTTGAGTGGATTAGAATTCCAAACGTGGTTATGGTCTACCTTGATACGAACTTGTTGTCCTCTGCAAAAATAAAGATACATATTTTTTGCAATTTGCAAGGAATTTATATATAGGTGCCAGTATGAACAATATGTGGCGCCCAATGTGGGTCACATAAAAATAATGTGTTAAAAACTGAAAAGTTTACTTAAGATTGAAAAAGGTATCATTTCAGGGAAGACTTTTTCGATATTGAGGTCATGGTAATAATTCTTAATTTTTTCTGAGATAATGGCCTTGACTGACCAAAAATTTTGGGGGGAGGGGTCTATTGACCAAGTTGATGCATCCCCAGCAGAAAGGAAGAGCAATTGTCAAGCAAATTTATATTAAGGCACTGCCATGAAAAATTGTGGCGCCCAATGTGGGGCACATGCAAATATAGTCCCCATAACTAAAAAAATGGGTTAATATTTTAAAGAAGGAACATATAATGGGGATTTAAAAGATTAGTATAAAAAAAAGCGTTTGGAATGGTCCTTTAAGTATTTTTCAAAATTAATTTGAGACGTCTGATGCCTGATATAACAAATTTTGAAACAGGGTTGATTGTAGTACTAAAATTGCCAAAAAAAATTAAATTTTTTTTAATGAATGTATTTTGATCTCATAGAGGGTCCCGTTGCCCAAAATTTTACTGAAGATCGGAATTTTTATTTATTTACTTTTTCGGAATGAAGTAGGTTCGGTTGGTCTTTAATTCTGATATTGGAGCCACTTAGACCAAATTTTTTTCGATTTTTTTTTGTCCATTACTATTTTCCGATCATCTCCAAAAACCATAGGCTTCCATTTGAAACTGAAGCGAGATTCCAAATTAACGTACGGAGGGACAAACATGCTTAGATCGACTCAGCTCGGCGAGATAGATCCATATATTACATCGTGGGTCTGGGACCAATATATTCCGAGGGGTTACAAATCTGTTGGTCCAATCGAAGTTATAACACATATTGTTGTAGGGTATGAAAACACTATTTAAAGGATATATTTCTGGGACTATTATGACACATTCATAGACTTCTAAAACATATTTTTGAAGAACTATCAGGACAACAATTGTGTGCTTCTTAAAAACTTTTTTTCACTCCCCAAGGAACCCAATCTTTATACTGACAATTTACAGTTCTTTTATTTCCGTTCCAAAATAAATTTACATTTTCATATCAGCGCCAAACATTAGTTGTTGTTTTAAAAACTTCCACTAATCATTCGAATATCCTTTTTGCCGACAACGCCAAACTTTGCAACAATTAAGTACTTAATTTTTGTTACTTTTAACCTTCAAAGTGGACAAATTCTCAAAAAAAAAAAAACAAGCAACAACAAAGTGCCAGACAAGTTCCATAGCCAAAAAGAAAGAAAGAAAAAAAAAAACAAAAAATTAGGAAAAAAAAATTTTTTGGAAAAGCAACTGCATATTAGTTCCTTATCCACAACCAGACCGAACGTCTGACATTCATGGCAGACTTTTTCCCAAAAAAATCCTTTTTTTTTCTTTTCTTGCAAAAGCCAACAGACCAAAAAGAGAAAAATCTGTTTTTTATTACCATTTGCGTCTTATTATTATTTGTTTGGATTGTTATGTTATTCTGCTATTAGTTGGCGACCTCTAACCCCCCATGAACGCCCTTTCTGACTCCAGCAATTTTTCATTTGTGTGTGTGTGTGTGTGTGAGTGTTTTCTTGCTGATGATACTTACTTTAATTCCTGTGCCATTTGGTCGATGCTTATCAACATTGCCACCCAATGTATTCGGATTAAAACTATATTGGAATGCATCCAAAACATTGCTACCACGTGCCCTCTTCGTCCGGGAGACAATAAATAATATGATAGCCACCAGCAGTATAATGATGGTAGTTAAGACGACAATAACAACGCCAATAAAATTCTCATCGGAGGGTTCCTGATCGATGGGTTTGGGGGCGATTACTGCAAAGAGATGATAGGGAGAAAGAAAAAAAAAAAAAGATGAGAAAAAAATTAAATTTAATATTTCGCCAGAAATTAATGAAGTGAATAATAGTGCAGACAAAAAATATGTGATAAGTCAAATGGACATTTTGCAGACTTTTGGGGAGATTAAATGAACTTCTTTAAAATTAATTTTTAGAGGGCCTTATTTTCAGAAATTCAATTTTTTTTTTTTGGAAAATTATTAATGGGTTATTTAATAAATAGGTATAATTTGAATTTTGTAAAAATATAAAAAATTTGAGAGCTTGTTTTTCCAAAAATTAAAAAAGGGGAAATTATTATATTTAAAATCATGAAATTTTCCAAGGCCAAGAAAATTTTATAATTTAATAAATACTTACTTTTAGGGAAATTAATTTGATTTTTCAATAAATATAAAAATTTAGAGATATTTTTTATTTATTTTTTTTAGAAATTTAACAATTTTTTAGGAACATTTTTGTAACTAAAAATTATGAAATTTTTCAAGGCCAGACTTTTAGGAAGATTAAATATTTTTTTTTATATTTTTTAATTTTTCTAATATTTATTTTTATTATTTTTTTTTTTTTTAAAGAGTCAAAATCCAGTATTTTTTTTTTTTTTTTGGAATACTAACAGGAATGCCTTAAAAGATCAAAGCTAATAGTGGGGTATTTTTATTCCCTTCGCCATACATTAATTAATAATTTGACTTTTCTAAAAATATAAAAATGTAGAGATATTTTTTATTTTTTTTTTTTCTAGGAATTTAACATTTTTTTCGGAAAATTTTTGTAACTAAAAATTATGAAATTTCCCAAGGCCAGACTTTTAGGTAGATTAAATATTTTTTTATATTTATTTTTATTTTTTTAAGAGTCCAAATCTAGTAATTTTTTTTTTTGAATACTAACAGGAATGCCTTAAAAGATCAAAGCCAATAGTGGGGTATTTTTATTCCCTTCACGATGCATTAATTAATTAATTTGACTTTTCTAAAAATATAAAAATTTAGAGATATTTTTTATTTTTTTTTTTCTAGGAATTTAACATTTTTTTTTCGGAAAATTTTTGTAACTAAAATTATGAAATTTCCCAAGGCCAGATTTTTAGGTAGATTAAATATTTTTTTATATTTTTTAATATTTATTTTTATTTTTCCAAATCTAGTATTTTTTTTTTTGGAATATTAAAAGGAATGTCTTAGAAGATCAAAGCCAATAGTGGGGTACTTTAATTCCCTTCACCATACATTAATTAATAATTTGACTTTTCTAAAAATATAAAAATGTAGAGATATTTTTTATTATTTTTTTTTTCTAGAAATTTAACAATTTTTTCGGAATATTTTTGTAACTACAAATTATGGAATTTCCTAAGGCCAGACTTTTAGGAAGATTAAATATTTTTTATATATTTTTATTTTTTAATATTTATTTTTATTTATTTTTTTTAAGAGTCAAAATCTAGTATTTTTTGGAATACTACAAGGAATGCCTTTAAAAAAGCCAATAGTGGGGTATTTTTATACCCTTGTACTTGGAGAGTACATTAAGTTCGTCATTTCGTTTTTAGCACCTCGGAAATACTTTTTAGACCCCACAAAGTATATATATTCTTGATCAGCATAAAATTCGATATCGATTTAGAAATGTCCGTCCGCCCATATGACCTTCTGTGGAAATCACTCTAGCTTCCGAACGAAATGAAGTAGGTTGATAAAATTTTACTCAAATGTATGTTTTGTCTGCAGAACTTTTGGTATTGAAAATGGGTTATGTAGGTCCACGCCTTCGCATAGCCCTCATATAACAGCACCTCCCGATATTCGATATTTTGATTATTTTAGCGACTTTATTCACCGGAATTGTTTAAAATTTGGTATTTGAAGTTTGTAATGGATACCACAGCCTAAAACAGAAAATTGTCCGCATAGGTGCACGCTTTCTTATAGCCTCCAATAACGGTACCTCCCAATATTCGGTATTTTGATAATTTTAGCGTCACTATTCACCGAAATTGTTTGAAATTTCGTATTTGTAGTTTCTAATAGGTACTACACTACTGTGACAGAAAATTGTCTGTGCAGGTCCAGATCTTCGCATAGACCCCATATATCAGTACCTCCCTATATTTGGTATTTTGACGTTTGTAGGTACAATATTCACCGAAATTGTTTGAAATTTCGTACTTAGAGTTTGTAATGAGAACTACAGTCTCTGCTGGAAAGTTGTCTATGCAGGTGCAGGTCTTCGTATATCCTCTATACAACCCTTTAAGCGGCGATTTGACGATTTTTCGGTACAATAGTCATTCAAATTGTTTGTTATTTCGAATTTGAAGTTCTCCATCGGTACTACAGCCTGTGACAGAAATTTTTTTATGTAGGTCCAGGTCTTCGTATAGGCGCCATATATCAGTACCTCCCCATATTCGGTATTTTTGTATTTTTATGGTTTTAGCGACATTATTTACCGGAGTTGTTTCAAATTTCGTATTCGAAGTTCGTAACGGGTATGGCAGCCTGTGACAAAAAATTGCCTATGCAGGTCCAGGTCTTCGTAAAGCCCCCACATATCGGTAACTCCTTATATTCCGTATTTTTATGATTTTAGCTACATTATTCACCGGAATTGTTTCAAATTTCGGATTTAAAGTTCGAAATCGTTACTACGAAATCGTAACAAAAAATAACTATGTAAATAATCTCCGTACAGCACCCATATGAAGGTTTTCATTTGAGCGGTATTTTTCGACGGATATTAAGAAGGCAAAACTGGGATATTTTTTTATTTTTTTGTAATTTTCAGGCTCCTTCCGAATGGTGGAGAGTATACAAATTTCGGCCGAACATAGCTGCATTTTTATTATTTTATTTATTTATTTATTTTATTAATTTTTATTTATTTATTTTTTTTTTTGAAATAGTATCCATAATTTTGGATTTTTTAAAATACATTTGCTGGCTGGAATATTTTTAGTGACTTTCTAAAATATATTCGAATATGTGATTTTTTTTAAGTATTTTTAAATTCTGCTTTTTTATTATTTTACTTATTTTATTTATTTATTTTTTTTTTGAAATTGTATCCATAATTGTGGATTTTTTAAAATACATTTGCTGGCTGGAATATTTTAGTGGTTTTCTAAAATATATTCGAATATGTGATTTTTTTAAATATTTTTAAATTTTGAATTTTCTTCCATTCCCCAGCCCTTCCTGTTTATATTTTCTTATGCCAATTTTGTTAATGTAAAGCAAAAATACAAAAAAAAAAACACAATCAGCAAAAATCCAGCTCTGACTGAAATCAAAGTCTGTAAAATGCCCCAGCATAGCTGTGGAGATGAAGAAGACGAAGAAAAAACAACAAATAATCAGCGAAAACTTACATTGTGGTCCATTATTATAGTTGCGTTCGCCATTAAGATTTGTTGTTGGCATTTTACCACCATTTTTATTATTATGATGATATTCATTACTTTGTAAAGGATATTCACGGGTATCCTGTGGCAATAAGGCGCCACGCTGCTCCTGTTCGTCGGTGAAATTTCCCACGGCCGGTACTGCAGATGGATAGAAAAAGAAAAACGGAAAACAGAATACAGATATTAAATATTAGTAAATTTTTTTTATATATTTTTAAATTATTTAAAAAGGATTCAAAGAGAGAGAGAGAGAGAGAGTTGTGGCAGTAATTCAAATGCTTGCTTGAATAAATAAATAGTTTATTTTATTTTAATTTCTATTTTAAGACTTCTTCCGGGCAGGATATTTTTTTTTTTCATGGCAAATAATTTACTCAACTTCATTATAGAATCAAAGAAATGAGGAAAAAAGGGAGTAACGGGATTTTTTGTAAAGTTTTTTATTTCCAGTATGGCTTTGGGCAATGTAACCAGGAATCCAACTATATCCTTTCATTTGAGCAAAAAAAAAAAAAAAAAACAACAGCAACATCTGTCTGTCAGTTCAAATCCTTTGGTCCCTTTTGTTTTATAATCAGGCTTTGAGGTTCTATTTTAGTTTCACTACCCAACACCCCTTCCTCCACACTTTCCCTCCCTCTCTCCCCCTCTCCCTTCCTCTCTTTCCCTCTCTCATTTTTCATTTACTTCCCACATAAATAAAAAATTAAACATTTTATATTATGTGTAAAATTATATCAAACTAGTTTTTGTGGGGCGATTATCCTTTTTTAGTTTCGCCTAGCTTTGCCTCAGTAAATTAAGGCCAGCTCAGTTACTGAAATCCTTTTTTTTTTTGTTGTCTTCTGGATTTCAAAATACCTACAACTCAAAGGCTTTTAATTGTCATGCCAACAAAACAAAATAGAAATTCCTTTTTTGTCAAAAACGAAAATGATTTAGAGATGAAATCGTAAGCCAAGAATTGAAAAGTCAAACAAAAGCTGTCACAACAAAAGGTAATTCCGAACAACAGATTGCCTGCTGTGATTCCAACCACACACAACAGGATGCAAATGTCCTTTATTTTTTTTGTTTTGTTTTTGATATAGGTGTTGGGATTACATTAAAAATGTATGCAGATCGATGTGGTGTGTGATATATATCAGGGCGAAAGGTGATATATGTGTAAAATCACACATCCACACATATGGACATGGGAAGTATATGGTTCAGTGACATAGTCTTCAAATGGGAAGGATTTAAACAATTTGCGGAAATTATTTTAAATTTTAGGAAATTATTTAATATTTATATGTGCCATTTTTTAAAAACCTCCCTGGTATAAAACCAAATCAATTCAACACAAATATTTTAAAACGTCCCAAAATTGAAAAATATGGTCAGGACCCTCAGAATGACTAAAAAGTCAGGGGGTAAATTTATATGAAGGCTGTACGAAGAGGATGATCAGCACTATCAATTTTTTTTCAATAGCCGAAATGTCAGAATTTGGCGAAATTAAATGGGAAAACATGGCCAAACGTAAAATATGTTTGAAATTCTCCCATTTACTCTAGATGGCGGCTATACCAAAAAAAGTGGACCGATATGACCCATTTTCGTTATCAATGACATGGATGTGGTCCAAAGATCTCTGTCAAAAAATGGACCGATATGACCCATTTTCCTTACCAATGATTCTGGATGTGGTCCAAAGATCTCTAACAAATTGCAGAGCTCTATCCTAAATGTTGCGAAATATACCTCAAACTATAGGGGAGCCTTTGAATATCGGCAAAACTATATAAAGGCCTTGCAAAGGCCTTAGGCTCAAGAGGCCGAACCTCTTTGTATTGATCTACAAGCGAGCATTATGAAATGAATTTAGAATTTTTCACAACCCACACGGGCCATTGGACAGTGAAATTTAAATTTTTCAAAAGTGAACAAGGTTTTTTATGGACAAAAATTGATGATATTTTTTTAATGGTATATTTTAAAAACACAGATTTCTTCTGTTCTGAGACTCACAATGAAATTTTATCTAAAATAATTCTTCCTTTGGTACTTTGCCCAAAAAATGATGGGAAAAATGACATTTTGACTTGGATTGAAAATGTGTTAGATTACAAGAAAAAAGTAAACAAATATTTTTAATTTATGGATCATGAATTTCGAACGCAAATATCTTAAAAACTATTATACCTAGATGTATGATTTATTCTGAGATTTATAGTGAAATTTTGCGGAGAATATTTCTTCTTTTAACACTTTTTGCCTAAAATGAAATTTTATGTTACTTTCAAGGGTCAAATCCGAAAAAAGGCGCAAGAAAAATTCATCAAAATATATGGGAAATATTTTCGAGTTTTTTTTTTGTTTTGGGAACAATTTTGCATTTTTTTTTTTTTTTTTTTTTTTTGATATAAAGTAAAAATAGAGATTTTTGTTCTGTGGTGACTTATAGCGAAATTTTCAATATTTTTGTCTTTGACGTCATTCGTCTACAAACATGTTTTGTAGGAGAATTCAACATAAACGTCGCATAAAGTACGACTCTAACACTAAAATGTGGTTTTCATATTTAAGAATTTCTGACTATAGACATTTGATGTTTTCTAGGACCTACAGTAAAATCTTATGGAAAAAAAAAAAAACATTTGTAGAATTTTTTGATGGGCTACGATCACATTTAAAGGGAGATTTCATGCATATTTTGAAAAAAAGGACCAAAAAGACCCCCTTGTTGACTCACATGAGGGTTAAGAATTTCCATCAAAATAATCCACGTATTTGTATCTACAAAATTGCCCAAGACACTATTGAACTAAAATGTAAGGATTCCACGAGTTATTAATACGAAAATTCCCAAAAGTGAGGAAATGGAGGAATTTGTTCCCTCTTTTGAAAAAAGGACCAAAAAGACCCCCATGTTGACTCACATGAGGGTTAAGCATTTCCACCAAAATAATCCTCGTATTTGTATCTACAATATTGCCCAATACTCTATAGAGCTAAAATGTAAGGATTCCACGTATAATTAATACGAACTTTTCCAAAAGTGTGGAAATGGGGGAATTTTGCCCTTCTATCGAAAATCTTGGAAAATAAAAATAAATAGTTTTTTTTTATATTTTTTGTTGTTTAGCTGTTACCAGATTGTAAAATTGAACGCTTTTTACAATATTCTAGGCAAAAAAATTTAAATGTTGTGAATACTTTGATTGTTAGGAAACCGTTGGGCGCCATTTGCCAAAAGGAATAATTTTCATTGAGTACCTGAGGTGACTTTTAGTTGTTAACTATGTTCAAACCCGTTTCAGGATTCAATAGTTATTAATTGTTTCTAATTATACAGAAAACGTTGGGCACCATATGCAAAGGAAGATTAGTTGTTAGGAAAACGTTGGGCGCCATTTGTCACAACGAATAATTTTCTCTAGTTACCTAAATTCACGTTTAAGTTCTAACTATTTTTGAACACTTGTAAGGATTTAATATTTATAAATGGTTTCTAATTATACTGAAAACGTTGGGCGCCATTTGTCATAGAGAATAATTTTCTACTCTTACCTAAGGTCAATTTTTGGGAAAACGTTGGGCGCCATTTATCAATACGAATAATTTTCACTGGTTACCTAAGGCCACTTTTAGATTTTAACTATTTTAAATTCTTTTGCCGGATTTGAAATCTTTTAATGGTTCTAAAAGTGTTGGGCGCCATATGCATTGGAAGATCAATTGTTGGGAAAACGTTGGGCGCCATTTGCAAAAAAATAATAATTTTCTTTGGTTACCTAAGGCCACTTTAAGATTCTAACTACTTTGAAATTCTTTTTAGGATTTGATATCTTCTAATGGTTCTGAAAGTGTTGGGCGCCATATGCATAAGAAGATCAATTGTTGGGAAAACGTTGGGCGCCATTTGTACAAATAATAAATTTCTCTGGTTACCTAAGGCCACTTTTGGATCCTTACTATTTTCACACTCTTTCCGGGGCGTTGGGCGCCATATGCAGGGGAAAATTGGCTTTGATTTATTTTTATATCTATATTATATCTATATTTTTCGTATTTAACGTTTACTATTTTGAAAAAACATTCTCAAAGTCTCTTAGACGATTAACACTTTTCATTTTTGACTCATTAAATTTAGAAGTTTTTTTTTTTTTGGGTTCGATCTTTAAATTTAAAATAACCACGTTGGGCGCCATTTGTCTTAAGGACATTTTTTCAAAGGGTGGCACCTTTGACCATTCGTTCTTTACATGCTGTGGTGAACTTTCTTCAGAATATGTTAGAAATGTTAATAAAAATAGTAGATCATAATATGTTTTAAAAATATTGAAAGCGTTGGGCGCCATAGGTCGAGGAAGGATTTTTTACTTGGTCCATCACTTTAAAGGTCGATCTCTATGTTTTTCGTTTTCTACGTTGGGCGCCATTTGCTTAGGAGGACTACTCTAAAGGTAAATACTTTTGAGGTTTAAGTCCATTCATTTTACGACTTATTAAATTGAGACGTTTTTGTGTGTTCGATCTCTATGTTCCCAGTTTATAACATTGGGCGCCACTTTCTAGGGTGTTCATTTTTTTAACTTAATTTTTTTTCCGAAACTTGTTGAAAATTTTGGACGTATTTTTATAACTTTTTTAATTCATACATTTTTGTATTCTATCTCTATGTTCCCTTTTTAACTTCCATTTTTTTTTCAGAAATTTTTTGAAAATTTTGGATGCCATTTGCTAGGGAGAACTTATTGTTTGGCCGGTCTGTTAAATTTAGACGCTTTTTTCTTTTTTATTTCTATTTTTTTCATTCATTTCAACGATTAAATTTGCATTAATTTTTTTAAGTTAAATTCCATTCATTTTACGATTTATTTAATTGAGACGGCTTGGTTCCCAGTTTATAACGTTGGGCGCCACTTTCTAGGGTGTCCCTTTTTATCTCCATTTTTTTCCAGAATTTTTTTTTTGACAATTTTGGATGTATTTTTACAACTTATTTCATTCAGACGTTTTTGTGTTCGATCTCTATGTTCCCAGTTTATAACGTTGGGCGCCACTTTCTAGGGTGTCCCTTTTTAACTGCCATTTTTTCCAGAAACTTTTTGAAATTTTTGGACGCATTTTGACAACTTATTTAATTCAGA